CCAAGTCACGCAGCATCTCGATTGTGAAGGGAGTACTCTGTGACCTGAAATTCTTCATCGGAGATGACCAAATCCCAACAGTGTCTGAGCAGCCGGTAAAAAGCCTTGGAAGGTGGTATGATGCAAGCCTGAAGGACAAAGACCAGGTGCAACAGCTGCGCAAAGACATCAGTAGTAGCCTACAGTCCATCGACAACACCCAGCTACCTGGAAAGTTAAAGGCCTGGTGTCTGCAGTTTGGTCTCCTACCCCGGGTGTTGTGGCCCCTAGCAGTGTATGAGGTTCCAATCTCAACAGTGGAGAAGATGGAAAGAGGAGCCACGAGCTACTTAAAGAAGTGGCTCGGAGTTCCACGATGCCTTACCACCATAGGCCTCTATGGAGATGGTGTCCTCAAGCTGCCCCTCACCAGTCTAACCGAGGAATTCAAGTGTGCAAAAACCAGGCTCCAGATGACACTGAATGAATCTCGAGACCCAGTGGTGAGCAACAACGCGCCGACCTTGGCAACTGGGCGCAAATGGAGGCCAGGAAAAGCAGTCCAGGAGGCAACAGCAGCCCTCAGACATGCTGACATTGTGGGTCATGTTCAGCAAGGGAGAGGAGGCCTTGGGCTAACTAGCCGTGCTGCTTGGAGTAAGGCCACTGCACCAGAGCGGCGGAAGATGGTAGTGCAGGAAGTACGCCATCAGGAGGAGGCTGCAAGGTGGGCCAAGGCAGTCTATCTTGCCAAACAAGGACAGTGGACTCGATGGGACAGTGTGGAGAAGAGGAAGATCAGCTGGAAGGATCTGTGGGCCATGGAAGCGAGGCGGTTGAGCTTTTCCATCAGAGCAACATATGACATCCTTCCAACACCAGTTAATCTTCACCAATGGTATGGTGAAGATCCGGACTGTGCCCTCTGTTCCATGCCAGCCAACCTCAGGCACATTCTCACAGGGTGTAAAACAAGCCTCACCCAAGGACGCTACACTTGGCGTCACAACCAAGTCCTTAAAAACCTTGCGTTCGCCCTGGAGGACAAGCGAGCTGCCACCAACTCCCTACCACCCCCAGCAGCATCACACCCCTTACGGACGACCTTTGTCCGCGAAGGGGCTAAACCACCGAAGAGCGGCTCTACACCAATAGAGCGAGACCAGCTGCGCTTGGCCCGCGACTGGAAAATGCTAGCTGACATTGGCCGGCAACTTGTGTTTCCTCCGGAGATCGCAACCACCACCCTAAGACCTGACATGGTGCTCTGGTCCCGTTCGCTCAAGAAGGTCTTCATCATTGAGCTCACAGTACCCTGGGAGGACTCAGTAGATGAGGCTTATGAGCGAAAACATCTGCGCTATGCCGATCTAGCTGCCGAAGCACGGCATCATGGCTGGAACACAGAAGTCCGACCAGTGGAGGTGGGCTGCAGAGGTTTTGTGGCAACATCTACAACCAGACTGCTTAGAGACCTGGGAATTAAGGGCCAGAGCCAGCGTTCGGCAATCAAAGCTGTATCGGAGGCGGCAGAAGGCAGCAGTCAGTGGCTCTGGATGAAGAGGAAAGACCCCAGCTGGGCCCCAAAGTGAGAGGGCCAGGAGGTATGCAGTCAACAATGCTTGACTCAGGGAGGAGGACGCCCCTGCCATGCATAGTCCCATGGATGTTGGCTACCAACAACAAGGCAACTCCTATGACTAATTGGGAATGGGACGCAAGCGTAGGATTGATCACCCTGTCGCTGGCCGCCTTTGGGGAGGGTGTATAGTATGAAAGGCCGAAACACCCTAGGAACCAAAGGGTTACTACTGATGATGCGCTCCGCAAATTTCACCAGGCTCACTGTTCATGAACTCTTGGAAGTGCTTGCACAAAGGATAGTAACATCTCATCCTGTGTTCTTTGGAATCTGAAACCGGCATTGGCTGTAAGGTGGCCAGCGAATGGGAATGCGGCAGTGAATTATTGAATCCATCTGTGCTGAGTTTTGATCGTTACCCTTCCCCCCAATCCCCCGTCTTATTTGTGGTGGGTGTTTCTATCAGGTGCCCGCTCTGGTCTCTGGCTCCTACACTCCAACAAAGAAAATGTGCAGTCGCGGAGTCAGCCAAACCTTCCAATGTATCAGGCCAACCCTGAAGCAGAGTTTTGAGACGCAGTGGGGCCTTTCTTGGCTTAATGATGAAAATAATAATATACATTTGAAACTTTTACACTATGAGATCTCTTTTACCAGTGGCAAAATATAATAGTAGGTTTTTACCCTTTTAACTGGTACCAGTTAAAAGGATAAAAACCTACTATTATACATTTGCAAAGCGGTGAATTTTATATCTAGATCCCAAAGCGCCTCGTGTATGGAAAGCAGGACATCTACAAAACCCGCAGGCTAAACGGCAAGGACTCGTGTGAATTAAAGGCCGGTTTAAAGCGGTGCGTTTTCAAGACACATTTTAAATATACCGAACGACTTTGATCGTCTTGTCAGCAAAGGCAAAGCGTTAGTCAAAAAGCTTGGGAATTGAACCGGCAAAAGCGCGCTCAGCCCAGGGAACAGAGCCTTGACCTCGGAGTCCTTAGAAGAAGGCGATCCGAGTAGCTCTGGGGCCTCGTTAGCGTTTAATAATAAATGGGCGTCACGTATGTACGTATGTTGAACTTCTTTCGCACCGTACGCAGCCAACCGCTCTCGGGGAAGGACAACAAACGATGCATCATCGATCATTATTGATGCTTAACAAGGTGGTCGATGGCCAACATCAGTGCTGCTTTTACACATTGCACCAGGTACTCATTTGAGGCTGAGTCGACCTAGGGGAGAACTACGACGAGGTCAAATAATCGCCAGTGCTACTGTTCGTGAGCAGGAATTTAACTTGGGTTACCGGGTTCCTAAAACAACGCGCTAACCGCGACACTGCCGATCCCCACTCACACAGAGACACACACATGCATACACACGCAACGCATTCACAGACAATATCCACAAACATTAAACACCGGCAAAGACCCTCTAAATAGTCCACCTAGACCAGCGGTCGGGAACTTATGGCTCGCGAGCCATATATGGCTCTTCCGGTGACGGCAATATGGCTCCCAGACAATTTTGAGTTGAAAAAAAAAATAAAAAAAATAAAATCAGTTTGGAACGGATATAAAAAAAAACTTGTAATATTGCTTAATAATACTGTGTCATTTGAAAGTAAACAGAAATTAGTTTTGAAGATAAATTTCACGGGTCCCGTGACCAGAAGTCGCATTAAAAGTAAGACATATTTAATTTATTATATGTTAAAAATACTATATGGCTCTCAATGAAATATATTTAGAAATATTTGGCTTTTATGGCTCTCCCAGTAAAAAAGGTTCCCGACCCCTGACCTAGACCATTGGGGCAGGTGCTGGTATTGAACACCTCTGAAGGCCGGCATCGCTCAGGAGGGGGTGGTGTGTGTGTTAAGGCGCTACTGTGGGTGTGTGCGTGTATGAAATTAGTTGTGAGATGCAGCCATAACAAGGCCCCTGTTTGTGATGAATGTGCATTGGAAAGTCATCATTGCGTACTAAACAGCATTGCGTGTAAGTTACCAGTACTAACTTAACAATCGAACACATTGCTTAGTTTATCTCTAGATATTTTATGGTAAGCTGCTAGACTGGCTTGGAGTAGGGGTTGTCAGTGTAAGGCACTACAACTAGATTACAAGGTATGCCTAGCCATAATAAGCCGATATTAAAGTACCCTATCTTCAAATAATCGTATGAACATGTGTATAAAAATATGGTGAGTTTACTCAACGTTATTATTAGTCTCATGAGGACAAAACAAAGCGAGACAGATGATGTGGCACATCAACATTAGTCTTGGAATAAGCATTACGCTCTGCTTTGGCTGAAATCTACCAACTGCTTACTGTATATATCGATTATTTGCTTGTCCTTAATTTATAACCCGGTGAAAGTCCAACGAGAATTTTTTTTTTATTTCAAGGGAGATCTGAGTAACCTAATGTACGCACATTTTAATTTATTGTAACATCAAACGACACGAGGGTCAACTGGACGCGCAGGCATTCGCCACCAGCACTGCGATCGTTTCATATTTTGGTGGTGCGGCCACGTGAATGTCTGGCCGAGTGTGTGTCGTGAAGACACGGTGAGCGCTCAGCTGTTAACCGAACGTATCAAACGAGATATGACGTGTGATTCGAACCCACGCCATCGGACATCATCTGCATGAGGTCCAGCAAAGTTCTGGGTAGCTGTCGACGGAAGAAAACTCTGACTTGGACGCTTTAACCGCCGCCTGTACACGATGTGACACTTCACTTGCTTAGCTGCGTTGGGTGCTGGAGGGTTCTTAATGACACGGATTTGGTCGGATCATTACGTAGCCTATAACCCCCTCCCCAAAAAAAAATATTATAAACCAAGGTCACACTAACCCTCAAAAAAATAAAATGAAGACCGCATTAAGTTTAAACAAGGATTGAATGAAAGCAATTAGAGTGAAAGCGCAATTCGAGCCTTCGACTCAATTATAATGTGCGCATGGCTTTGGGGTTATGCATCCCGGTTCATTGTGTCCCTGTACTGCTTGCTGTTCAAATAAATACGGAAAAATGTTTGCAATATAGGATTTTTGAAGGTGGACTAGCTCACGCAGACTTTACTCTTTCGCATTCATTTTCTTCTCCCGCACTTCCTAAATGTCTTATGTACGTTCATTTTGTCTGACTTACACATGTTTTTTTTATTCGTGAATGAATGAACCGGCTATTCTTTTGCTCCTCTAAGACGGATTCTGCTGACCATCGTGAATCCGCCGAGCCCTTGACACCCCTCTTTGACCCCGCTCACCCCTAACCTTCCCATTCGGGACCCCATCGCCCATTACAGATGGAGCACTTTGAAACATCCTGCGATGTTTACCTTTCGTCTGTCCACACTGCACGTTTCTAAGGCGGTCTTCTGGTATTTACAATCACATTAAAACAGGCAAAGGCACAGGCCTGCAATTTCTCGAGCCGGAGTCGAACCAGCGACCTAAGGATTTCAACCACAAACCAACTACAATCCTCCACTCTACCAACTGAGCTATCGAAGGAACCTTGTAACGTATTCTATCACTTCACTACTAGTACATAAACCAGTAGCAATGCAGAGTCAAACCTGCATCCAGTCCTTACACAGCCTGTACAGACAGGTCTGACAAGAGCTAAGTAACATGGGGCCAGTGGCGCAATGGATAACGCGTCTGACTACTGATCAGAAGGACCTCCACTCGGATGAACCCGAGAGGGCCTTTGCTTTGCTCTTTCAGGTTGACCAGAAGTGCTGGAAGCGACTTGGCGTATCCACCGCTTTACCCCACCGCACGCGAAGCTGCCGATCGACCAATTGCGGGCGCAGGGCGACTATACCACTGGGTGGACAGCGGCTGAGCGGGGAGTTTGAGAAAAGCTCGCCCACGTCGACTGCCCCGCCAGAGTACGCAATGGAACAGGCGACCTCAGAATTGCAAGTGCGGCGCGATGACCATCACGCCGCGGCAACTCCCATTCCTACAACATGCGGCAAAACCACCGCTTTCTGAAAAGCGCCTCTCTGCACCAGCGTGGACGGCACCCTCGTGTTCACCTTCTGAAGCGCTCGCTCGTCACCGTGGAGTGCGCGATGACCACCAACCACCACCACCACCACGTGACTTTTCTTTCGTGTTGTGCGCGCTGCATTTAGCGCCACACAGCGCGTGGATTTAGAGCGTTTATTTGTTTGTTTGCTGGTGACTTTGTGCATTTCATATCGGACTCGCCTCCAGTGCTGCTGGCGGTTTAAAAGTCTGAGAGGCTCAACCAGACCACTTGGGGACAGTGGCGGCTCCTGCAAAATCTCTCAGGGGGGGCAAATGTCTGGATGATTGATAAGGATAAGGTCCACCCATGCAATGGATAAATTAACAGCTTAAGCATGTAAAGGCAACTTCACTTCTTTAATATTAATGAAAAATAAAGTGACTCTTACAATACATCTTGTTTGTTTCTATACTCACTATGAATACAATCCACTCAAGTTTCTTTTATTAAAGATTCCACTAGGTGGCGACAAATTATATTGTTGGATGAAACGTGCTTACGTATGATGACGTAAGCACGTTAGGGCGAGCCCTCCCGGAAGCCATAGAGAATGCATTGCAGCGCCCCCCGGTCGAAAAAAACATCTTTGAATGTAAGTCTATGGGGCCACTCGGGGCGATTCTCAGCCGGAGTGAAATCGCCCAAAAAGAGGCGGTACTCCACAGAACGTGACATGACGCTGATTGGACTATATCCAGAGGCACAGTGACGGCTAGCGTGACTCTGTGGTTGAATGACATTGGTGGTGCATCGCCCAATCGCCCTAATGAAGAAACCGCCCCTGCTTGGGGAGCTGATCACGCTCACCTTTGCTGGACCACACCGATTTCGATAACCGGAGAGCTATGTTATTCTAGACCTGTTCTTTGTGTTTACAGTAGAAGCCCTCTTAATGGCGGTAATTGGTTTCACGAAACCGGTCGTTGAGTGATTTGGTCATTAAGCGAGTATAGGAAATACGCGTTAAAGGATTAATTCGTTCCGCATCGCAAGTTAACATTTTTCACCCGAAGAAAACGTACTTTATAATGTAAAAAATGGGTATTAATACATAAGGATGCTAATACAATTATAAACATCATATTAAGAGAAACATGGTTAATCAATGCATTAATTCATATTTACTGTACATACAACAGCCCATCGTCAACAGGATAATTATCGATTAGAGGGGTTCTACTCTACCCTACTACACAATACAATACACATTGTGCTCTATGGAGGCACTACACTACTTTACACTACACTATACACTACTATACACTACTACACAATACACAATACAATACACAGTGTGCTCTATGGAGGCACTACACTACTTTACACTACACTGTACACTTCTATACACTACTACACAATACACATTGTGCTCTATGGAGGCACTACACTACTTTACACTACACTATACACTACTATACACTACTACACAATACACTATACACTGCAAAGTGGGCTCTATGGAGGCACTACACTACTTTACACTACACTGTACACTTCTATACACTACTACACAATACACAATACAATACACAGTGTGCTCTATGGAGACACTACACTACTTTACACTACACTATACACTACTATACACTACTACACAATACACTATACACTGCACAGTGGGCTCTATGGAGGCACTACACTACTTTATACTACACTATACACTACTATACACTACTACACAATACACTATACACTGCACAGTGGGCTCTATAGAGACACTACACTACTTTACACTACACTATACACTACTATACACTACTACACAATACACTATACACTGCACAGTGGGCTCTATGGAAGCACTACACTACTTTATACTACACTATACACTACTATACACTACTACACAATACACTATACACTGCACAGTGGGCTCTATAGAGACACTACACTACTTTACACTACACTATACACTACTATACACTACTACACAATACACAATACAATACACAGTGGGCTCTATGGAGGCACTACACTACTTTACACTACACTATACACTTCTATACACTACTACACAATACACAATACACTGTACAGTGGGCTCTATGGAGGCACTACACTACTTTACACTACACTATACACTACTATACACTACTACACAATACACTATACACTGCACAGTGGGCTCTATGGAGGCACTACACTACTTTACACTACACTATACACTACTATACACTACTACACAATACAATACACAGTGGGCTCTATGGAGGCACTACACTACTTTACACTACACTATACACTTCTATACACTACTACACAATATTTACACTACAAACTATACCACTACATATCCACTACATACACTAACAATACACATTGTGCTCTATGGAGGCCCATCGTTATGTGATTGAGTCGTTAACAGAGTGGTCGTTAGGAAGGGTTCTACTGTAGATTGTTTGTCCTTCAAACTAAACACGGTTGGCTACGTACGGTGCGAAAGAAGTTCAACATACGTGTGGCCCACATTGGCTCTGCCCTCTCCTCTGCCCCCCCCCCCCCACCACTACCCAGGTATACCCCCTTCCCCCCCCCCCGTATTATGATGAGTTGAACATTGAGGCCACGGAACATTTTTAATTGTCACAAAATCATTGATTTTTTTCGCAAACGGTCCAGAATTCCGAAGTTTGCAGTCTTTCTGAAACGGCGGGACTGCCAAATTAGGGCGTTTGGTAAGCCCGAACATTGCATGAGGGCACGGTTTACGATGGAATGAACATCTTAATCATGCCTTTACGAGAATTGTCCATATCGCCCTGAGCGGGTAAGCATGTTTATACACCATTATCCTGATACCCTTTTAAATAACCTCTGCTTTTTTATAGGTAACAACGACATTTGTTATTTGAAAAATTAAATAACCGGTAATTTATTGTACAATTTCGAGGACAGTAAAAAGTCGCTTTGAAATTCTGCGTAAATAATGCAAGACTTGGATACAAATTACATTTATTCTAAATTACTTAGCGGAAGCATTTATATTTATATACACGTGTGGTTTAAGTAGCCGTGCATATTTAAAACGTGTATACATAGTGCGGGTGGGCAGGGTTTCACAGACGTAAACATGCCAAAACATTATTGCAGTTTCTTTCTCGTCCTCCATACGCACGCACGTAGACATTCCTAGCGCCATTCCACTGCTGGATTGACGCACGACCTGCACTGCTTGGGGGGAGGCGTGATTTCCTTCGACCATACTTCACCGCGCTGGTCAGGGCGGGTTGATGCATGCGGGCAGCACGGACGCGCAGACGACGAGCTGTGGAGGTTTGTGCCGGAGCGCGTGAAGCCACAACGAGTCTCCACTGTTCTCAAATGTTATTTGCTCGGCGGCTGAAATGGATGGGCGAATCGTCTGTCGCAGACAGATCGTCCCGCAGAGCAACGCCGATGCCGGTTGAATTATTGAATTCCGTTTTTTTTTGCAGAAAGGTTCCCTGCTTAATGTTGCGCAAAAGTATTCCAGGCGAACGGCATTTTCCAATTCAATAAATTACCTCATTTGACCTCGCCCTACGCAAATAATGTCTAAAACAATCAGCGGAAAACACGGTCTTCTAGAAGGAACTTTACGTGAGACTACACCAGCTAGAATCCTGGTGAATGCAGTGGGGGCGAGGGGGGGTTGGAGGAGAGGTGGCGCAGTGGTTAGCGCGATACCACACGAATCTAGCAAGCTACGCTTTCTTTCCAGTCAGAATCAGAATATTTATACTGCAGGAGGAATACGATGAGCTATGAAGCTCCTTGTCACATATGCCCAGTTGGGGCACAGGGTAAGAACGTTCCAACAACAGTAGAAAAAACACGATGTGATTGCAAAGTCTAGGAAAGGTAAGCAAATTCCTTTAAAATTCCACAAGTAAAACTAACCCATTTTTTTGTATCTTACCATGTAAGGCCCACTGAGCTATTAGATTATTTTTCAGAAGCGACCTGGCCACAAATTACAGCTCAACAAAGTGGCTCATTGTATGGAAATTTAAAGCAGAAAAATGTGGAGGGAAAAAACCCTGAGGAACCTGGATTAAAAATCCACGCGACCACGGCGTGAAAGAGACAACACACAAACTCCAGTCGCGGCTAACATCAGTGGCGAGTGATTATCTCAATCGGCCCTGCCACTGCCCATCACTCCATCACCCCCCTCGCCCCACCTTCGGAAACCCACACTGCCCAGCGTGGTGAAGAATGGTCAAAGAGTCGTGACCGCAACAGCGTGGGCCGAAGGTCTCCATCGCCTTTGCCGTTGATGGGATCCGGTCTCTGGGTTACATTTTTGAGGCTTGGTTTAGGAGTCGTGGGCCGGGAGGTCGCTGCCTCCACCCCCACTTAACGCGGGGGTTGCGTTTCCGACGAAAAAATTGCCTCGCAAAGGGAGTTGGCGTTAAGCGAGGAGCGCTTATTCACGTGCAGGAATAACGTTGATGGTGGGGGGTACCGTTCCAGTCCGTAATGCAGTTGTTG